AAATCTCTAACATATGAACTCTCGGTTCCATGTAGTGAAGCAGATCTTTCAAAGGTATCTTGTCACACATAGTCCTACAAAGCTTAGTTCCATAACATAACTATAATGAGGCATAAATTCTACATAAGCAAAGGAACTACATACCTTCCTTAACCAGCATGATGAAGGCAGGTTCACAAAAAAATTCAATGCTATTTGAAGTGAACTATAATGACAAATGATGATAATAAATTAAAACACTATGATTAAACTGACCTTAACAAGAGCTTTAAACAAGAAAGTTTCAGTTCATCACAACCTGAATAATGAATTTAGCTTTTCACATGAAATTAAACAAACCTAAGATATTCTTGTCTTGAAACTTAGTGAGATAAGGTAACTATAGATTGTATACTAGTGGCCTTGCTAAATTAATAAATTAATACAAATTAAAGGAGCACCTACTATACTAATATTTCCAGAATAATTTTCCGCATCAAAAATTCTAAGGAAAAGTAACAATTACACATATAATCAATAAACTATTTTACCACACTTGTGACTATCATTCATAAGTCTCTCAGTACAATATCTTGATCATCATGATCACTAATACATTCACCCTAATTAAAAACATAGTTACAATCGCATGTAGTGAACCATTTTTATGCCTGATTTCTCATCGTCTTCACTAGTGTCATGATTATTGCAGAAAGGTCTTCTGACTCTGTTTCAATGCTTGGCTCAATACTAGAAAGTTAACAGAGAATCCATAATGAAAGGTACATGTATGTACTTCTAATTATAGTCAATTAAACTGAAGTCATTAATCTCACAATAATAATTAGCCTAAATTTATTATAAGTTTGTTCATGCAGTTTATACCCCTTTGATAATTCCTCATAAACCCAGGTCTCTACTTTCGTATCATAGAGATTTTGTAGGCAAGATGTGGTAAACTTTAATTGGAAGGTGTCGGTCGTTTTATTTTCCAGTCATGTATCTGCTCAATTAATTCATTTAGCTTGATTGTGTATCTACATGTGCCTACTTTTTACTCAAAATATCGTGTATCCTACTCATGTTTAAGTAATAAATGGTTCAAAATAGCCTAAAAATAGTATAACATTTAATGTAGTCCACGGTACTCACATAACATCCAGTGATTTAGCCCTAGTGTATACAGCCAACGAGATTTCTTATAAAGAGTCAGATTAAGATGATTTACTTTAACAAAACATGTCAGATAGTCCACGCAGCGCTGCCATCTTGAAAAGCATCGATCTGATCCAGTACTGATATACAGCCTGGACCAGTGCTGACGAACAGACATTACTGTATCAGCTATGACTACATCGGGACTGAAATAGATACTGGTCCAGGCCAGAGCAACAGCCTCGATTCAGCAGTGATGGCCGTCGATGCTGGACCGTTATAGAATCAAACCTGGTCCAGGCCTGATACCCATCATTCACGGATCATGCATGGTAACTCTTGGGTGTGTACATGTCAATGCATAAATAATTCATTAAGTGCCAAACCAAAACCCAGCCTTAATTAATAATATCACCTAATAAATAATAATCACCTAAAGCACATGGTCAAGCACATGTCAAGTTTATAGTGCCAGGAGAAAAGAAACCAATACCTTCCAGTATGTAGTGGTAAGCCCACTTGTGTTAGATAATAAGCATAGGCCCTGTATATCTAGTGTCAGCACACATGTAACTGTACAAACCATATTGGTAACAACAGCTTTTTAAGGCAGGCAGGGAGGTGAGAGTTTGGCCATTAAAATGTTTTAACCCCCAGTTCTGGTTCTCAAGACCGGACTGCCTAGCCCGCTGTTCACCATGGCTTTCATGCTAACACAGTAATTGTAAAAGTTTGTTTATATTGTCACATAGTATGACGACAATTGGTGTCTCTGAGTCGTGAAAAGAGGGTCGAGGGCGAGGTGCTGGGTAGATAGACAGGAAAGAAGTCTAGGCGGGTAGGCAGACTAGGAGCATCAACCGACTGTGGCCAACACTCCGACGTCTGACTATCGACAAGAGTTGGGCGTAGTGTCCTTCTCTTAAACTAATTGTCATATTATTTTATCCCTCTCTCTCTCTCTCTTTCTGTCTCGTTGCCTTTGTCTGTCTGTCTGTCTCCTTCTCTCCCTCCCTCTCTCTTTCTCTGTTTGTCTCTGTCTGTCCGTCTGTCTCTCTTTGTCCGTCCGTCCCTCTCTCTCTCTCTCTCTCTCTAAATTTGTTTCTCTCTGTCTCTGTCTGTCTGTCTGTCTCACTCCCTCCCTCTCTCTTTGTCCCTTTGTCTGTCTCTGTCTGTCTAATTGCCCTAGTTTTTATTAATAATTCGAGCCATTAAGAAGTCATCATATATAAAAATGTCACAGGGTTTTTTATGTATTAAGGCTGACTGCAAAATAATAAAAATTCCAATATAATGTTGCCCTATAATAATTAAGCATTTTTGATTTCAGTGGTTGGTCTAGGATTAAAATATGGTGTGAGTACTGTATAGCTAAAAACTAAAAACTTCCTCAAATGAGAGGAAATACAGAATTTCATGAATATAATCCTTTTGTGAGTGGGATACTTCTCTACATGCATGCTTTGATGACCTGACCTCTAGTGTGATTGAAACTTTTGTGTTTCTGTGCAATTAATAAATGTTCATTTTGTGTATAACACATTATAATGAGTATTAACATTATTATCATATTAGACTACTACAGTACACAACAGGATATGACACTTGACTGTGTAGTGTTAGTGTCTTTATTATCCTGTCTTCTTTTTATAGATCGGATGGTCTCCTCTCATAGTAGCAGCTATAGAAGGACACACAGAGGCAGTGTCAATGCTCCTTGAAAAAGGAGCAGATGTAGCTGCCTCTACTAAAGTAAGTATAATCATTAATTATACTCAAATAGTGATTGTACATGTATATCCTTTTGAGTGGGTGGATCAAAGTAACCGCAGGTGCTGTATATCTCATACAGTGTGTGTACATGTACATGTATAGCTTAAAGTACTCTACTGTATCACTTTATGGAAAAGCATTTTTATTAAAGTAATTATTTTACGTCGCAAATTTTTGATTAAATTATTGCAAGAAATTTTTGAAAATAAATGAGTAAAAAAATATAGAAAAAAAATCAAAATTTTATACTTTATTTTTGGGTTCCGATTCTCAAAAATTTTGAGTATAGACAAATTTTGAATTTTTGATGGTAATGACCTTTTGATTATTTATTTTTTAAATAATTTTGAAAACTAAAAAAATTTGAAATTCTCAATAATTTTGAATAAAGTATTGAAAGAAATTTTTGTAAATTGTTAAAAATTTTAAATGAACATTTGCTTTGTGTAGCGTTTTTCAAAATTTAACGTTTCAGAACAATTACATTTCTACATGGTAATACTTTATAATGTTTCATGTATAATAGTATAATAATGTCAGATAGACTTACAAGAGGCCAGTGGGCATTGACATTTTTTTTGGTATGGAGGACATACTTAGAATGTAGTTATACTGTGCATGAATATATAATGTGATCCACCCACTCAAATTGATGTAATTATATCACTTACCTACTGGGGCTGTATCTGATTTACAGACACCTCCCACTAGGACACTATGGTCCCTTGTGGTCAGTGTCTGCATTGACATCAACTTAATTTTTGAGTTAATAAATTACATGCATTGATGAAAAATTTTATCCCAGTCATGAATGTTTCTCAATTTACATGTATAGTTACTGAGTTTATGACTATAACCAAGAACATTTTATTGATACTGCAATAATGTAAATATACATGTACATGTACATGTAGACTAGTAGTATTGTACATGTAATTATTTATATCAGTAAAATGTATACTTTTACACTAAATGTACCTCCACTGTCTCTAACATACTCAATACTATGGAGTATTGAAGACAGACCAACAATTAAAGTTGGTTTTTAGTTTGATTGTGATAACATTGTACTATCATGTTATTCAATGTTTACCTTGTATAGGCTGGTTGGACTGCTCTTGATTATGCTAAACAACGAGGTCATAGTGATGTTACTACCCTACTGAGAGTACACTCAGGTAATGTATTTATTAGTTTATTGAACTGATGTTATTATACTGTATGTAGTACTGTATTGTTATTAAAATGAAGCACTGCTTGAGTCATCAGCTACTGCTTCCTCCCTTACCATGTGTAAAATTAATTTAAATAATAAAAATGTGTCACATGATTATCTGTTGTCCATTCCTTCCCTATTGATGTATGATGTAAGATGTAGAGGGTGTGGCATGATGGTCAGTACTTGCTCCTTCATAGTAATTGTATGTGATGTCACATGTTAGTATCATTGTTTACCCAATGACTGTAAAACATTAGTAGTGTCATTTTGGTGTCTTATGATGCTTAATCTCTCTCCTTTGTTAGAAACCTAACCTTTTGTTTTGTTGATACAGTACATTCACTATTAGCTTCTTCTATGAATTAAATTGTGTATGAGTTATGTAGCAATAGCTTAGAGTGTATAATGTGTATATTATTGCATGGTAGTTGTATCCCACTATTAGGTTACTATTGTTCTTCTTATGTACTCTTATGCATGTACAGTACAGTCCCTCACAGCTGATGTGAGCCACACTGATGTACACAGTACACTTGGTATGTGTACTGGTATGTACTTGTATGTATTGGTAAACTTTGTTTCATTTCTCAAAAACATGTACATGTACAAAACTATGTCATACCCATTACATGTACATGCATGTGTCTTATTAGTAGGTTGTTGCTCATAATAATGACACATTTAACTTAGTTTCTATAGAATCAGTTAAGTACATGTATTGTGAGACTATTCCTGGTCTACATGTACATGTACGTATGATAAACTGGAGAATAAAAAGTGATAGATCCTGAGCAGGTCCTGATAATAATAGCCTAAATTGAACTAGCCTGTACTCATGAGTGTACATGTACAAACTAACCTGTGAATAATTCTCTGTTTATGTTTTAGCTGCTAATGAGAATACATGTACATGTACATGTAAGTTGTTTTGATAACACCTTGTCACAATCATAATTGAATCCCATTTCAAGACAGCATAATGACTTGTATAATTAATATGTGTACAGTCAATAGTTGAGTATTATGTAGAGCTTTTTATATTAATGATACATGTACATCATTCTACATGCATTCTTCAATCATTCAATGATTTATTTATTAAGTTAATGAATGTAGAACATTTCATGGTTCATCTTGTCTTTGTGACCACTCACCTGACTTGTGTTACATTGTCTTGTTCCATTAATACATGTAGACTAATACATTATTACATTACTTGTATTACTGGAAAAATAATAAATTATATATGTCATTTATTAATTTTAGTGCCATATTATACATTGTACATGCGTACATCACAATAATATGACAATGTAGATTTTAGTTCTATTTTGTACATTTGCATACAGGCTACATGTACAGAAAAGTATATTATACATGGTAAATATCTTTCACCCAAAGAAATCTTAGTACATCTCTGTCTTGCTTCCCAACAGAAATCATAAGGAATGCCTTCTCTATATCGGCAATGAAAGCATTCTTGTGAACCCTAAATCTAACTAGTAACTCCATTATTATCTGATTGAACTTTGGCCCAACATGAAGACATTCATTCAGTGAAGGACCAGTGCTTCTTGCTGAGGCATCATAAACAACGCGTAACTTGGTTGTTTCCTTATCCTGTCTAACTACACAGTGATGTGGCAAATAGTGAACCCTCTCTCCATCAGTCCTTGTAGGATCTTCCACTACCTCAACTATACCACTATCCAATTGAGTGACAATGGCCTTATTGTATTCCTCAAGTAGTGTAGGGTTCTGTCTCAATCTGCGAAGCAATCCAACCGTTTTAAAGACAGTTGATAGTTATCAGGAATAGATGAAACATCTTCTCTCCAAGGTAGAGTAACTTCATATTGTTTTCCATCGAAAGTAACATTCTTCTTAAACTGGTCATAAAGGGTGCTCTCCTTTTCACAAATTCCAAGTGACTCAATCTCCCAAAACTTCTTTAATTGCTCTGTAAGTTCCAACTTCTCCTGACCAGCTCTAACACCACAAGTCAATACATGAGTCACAAGAGTTGTAGAAGCTGAAGCAACAGGACCTGACAAGAGCCATCCCAGACTC